GGGACACACATACACAGGTCCAGCATGAATTTAAGTCACCAGGTCCAGGACTTGAACCATGGTTGACTACCTAGGAGTCTAACAATGTAACCATAACCCCATCTGCTGGTCCTTCCCTTTTTTTTTTTTAATGTTTATGCCATAGGGCTCGTGCATTTGCCAGAGAGAGAGAGAGACAGTGAGAGGGAAAGTGAGAAGTCACCCCGCCCAGGGGAGATCACTACAATCCCTTCTCCATTCTCCTTCTGAGATTTTGCACACACACGTGCACAGCGTGATTTTCGAGCTGCTCAAACCATGGTGGACCATGTGGATATTCAGTGCCTTAACCACTACGCCACCTGCTGGTCTTCATGGTATTTATTTTTCATAAAAGAAATAAAACTGCGAATTCAATAACTGGCTTCCACAATCATGGCCTTGAAGGCGTAGAATTAAGTTGTCACCGTATAGGTCTCAGAGCCCGATTCCCAAATCACAGGACCCACTGACTGTTGTAGGAGACCAGAGGCTCCAGAACTGAGGCAACCCAGCCCTGACTCTGGACCTCCCTAAGTGCAAATCCCAGCCCTGCCCTGTTTAGATGGGTGGCCTGCCCCCTGGCGCCGAACCTCTGTCCTTTCTGAGTAACAGAGAAACTAACCATCCGTCCAAGTCGCTGAAACCCGGCTCTGTCCCGGTCCCCAGGAGATGCGCTCGGTGCTGCGGAAGGTGGGCTCCCCGCGCAAGGCCCGCCGCGCGCGCCTCAATCCTCTCGTGCTGCTCCTCGACGCGGCGCTGACGGGGGAACTGGAGGTGGTGCAGCAGGCGGTGAAGGAGGTGAGGGCTGCAGAGTGCTGGAGGGCGCAGGGTGGGGAGCAGGCGCGGGAGGACGGCTGGGACTGAGACGCTCCCTCCCTCGGGCCCTTCAGATGAACGATCCCAGCCAGCCCAACGAGGAGGGCATCACCGCTCTGCACAACGCCATCTGCGGTGCCAACTACCCCATCGTGGACTTCCTCATTGCCGCGGGCGCCAACGTCAACTCCCCCGACAGCCATGGCTGGTAAGTCCTGTCCCGGGGGTGCAGGCGCGGGTCACCGACCGTGCTGCGGGCGGGGGCACTGGCGGGCAGCCTCGCGGCCTCTCATGCATCCCTCCCACGCCCAGGACACCGCTGCACTGCGCTGCGTCCTGCAACGACACGGCCATCTGCACCGCGCTGGTGCAGCACGGCGCCGCAATCTTCGCCACCACGCTCAGTGACGGCGCCACCGCCATCGAGAAGTGCGACCCTTACCGAGAGGGTTATGCGGACTGCGCCACCTACCTGGCAGGTGCGAGGCAGGGCTGGGGAACCCACCTGGAGGGTGCGCAGCACGGGACTGCGGGACTGCGCCCTTGAGGGAGAGGACTGCAGCCCGGCAGGAGGGAGGCGGGATGGACCACCTGCTGGGGGCGCGGGCAGCCCATCTGACGAGTGCAAAGAGGGGTGGGGGTACCGGCCCACCTCGAGGGTGTGGGGATTGTGCAGCTCATCTGCTTTTTCACTCGCCAGGGCGAGTCGGACGGTCCAGGTAGAGCATCTACCTGGCACAGGAGCAGACAGAGGGCTGCCAGGGTGAGAGAGACAGGAGCCCCCACCCCTTTCCCTGCACAGGCCATGGCTGCGGGGAGAGGGCTTGGGTTCTGTTCCACTCTTAGGGAGACAGGAGATTGTGTCATATCTCGGAGGAGTAGGCAACATGGGATGGCAGGGCCAGGGTGGGCGGTGTGGGGGAATTGCGTTAGGGTCTCTGCTGCTCACCTGGACAGGTAAGTTGTGGCATCGTTGGGGTTGGGGTTGGGGTTGGGCTGACTGAGGCCGGCCCTGGGGGCTGGGCAGGATCCTATGTAACCAAGGTGCCCTAAAGCCCAGGAGAGAGAGACCAGCCCCAGAGAGGGGGCAGGGCTGGGGAGGAGGATTGGGCCGTTTGGCCCTCGTCTCAGGTGGGTGGAGACAGGCGGACCGGGCGTCCTCCCTGCCTCTTATCTAGAGAGTTTGTGAAGGTTAAGTCAGACTGGACAGCACAGGAGCAGAGGGAGAAAGGAGGCCAAGGGGGCCGAACCACTGAGGAGAGGGAGCCAAGTGGACCCTACCAGCTGGAAAGGGGCCAACTTGAGTGTAGCACCTCAGTGTGGGGGCCTCTAGCACTTGGAGGAGTAATTGCATGCTCCTGGAGGCTGAATTACTTGGGGAGGGCAGTGCAGTGTGGACTGAACCACTTGGATGGGGAGGGGGAGTAGGACTGTACTGTCTGAATCTCTGGGGGCTGTGCCACACCAGCCCCGGGAACAAACGACCTCACTTACCGGGGCGACATGGAGAGGCAACGATGTACACATGTACACGAGGGTAATAGGGGCCATTGACCCTGCGGAAATGGACGAGGAGGCGGGGTTGGGCTGAGGGCCGGGGAGTGGCGCGACCCGATGCACCCAGCGTCCTCCAAAGTTAGAAACTGCCAGTCTCCGACTCCAGCTCCGGCTTCCATGCGCTGCCACCCAACTTCTTAGATGGCTCGTCCCCCTGATGGGGCAGGCCTGGCCCTGGCGCGGCGTGGCCGGTGTCTCTGGGGCTCCTGGACCGGCTCTCACCTTCCCAGCCGCGGTGTGTTTCAGACGTGGAGCAAAGCATGGGGCTGATGCACGGCGGGGCGGTGTACGCTCTCTGGGACTACAGCGCCGAGTTCGGAGACGAGCTGTCCTTCCGCGAGGGCGAGTCGGTCACCGTGCTGCGGCGGGACGGGCCGGAGGAGACCGACTGGTGGTGGGCCACGCTGCACGGCCAGGAGGGCTACGTGCCGCGGAACTACTTCGGGGTGAGCCCAGAGACTCCTGACAGCAGCTGGCAGATGAGGGGCATCCCACAGGGAAAAGGAGCAACCAGGGGGGCAGTCCATTTTACTGGATGGGGATCAGAGAAGTCCATTGGTCATGCGGCCAGGGAGAGGGAGAGCCCTTTTCAGCCCGGGGAGTAGGAGAGGATAAGCTCCTTACAGGGGAGTAAGTGAGGGTAAGTCCCTTACAGGGCCAGCACTTCGTGGGGTGCCCACTGGCTCTGTCTTACTGGTTATTGGAATAGTTTGTGCCCAAGTCTTTTAGCCAACAGGACGACGAAGAATCCTATTTTAGTGACGAAAGGAAGGTTAATTGTATATTACAGGTTTGCTGGAGCAGAAGCTTTTATTACACTGCATCCAGCAGAGTGAGGAAGAACCCTAATAAATTCAGAGGAGCCAGCAGGTGGCTTTAAGGCGCTGGGCTCCTACATGGCTGACCACGGTTCAAATCCCAGACCCGGTGACTTGAAAACTACTCTGGGCTCATGAGTGTGCATGTGTGCCTAAAATTCTGAGAGGAGAATGGAGGAAAGGGATTGCAGAGTGGCCATCCCCCCTGAGGAGTGATTTCTCACTTTCCCTCTCTGTTTCTCTCTGCCTCTCCCTGGCAAATGCATGCACCCTATGATAAAAACCTAAAAATAAAATACAATTATAGTAGAACTGAGGAAGAATCTATTAGGGTTGAGAGAGGAGACCAGGAAGAGTCCATGGTGTTTCTGGGAGGGTAGATCGTTTATATTTGGAGGTGAGACCCAGCCGACAGCCCGGTGGTAGTGAGAGGTGAGAGGCGAGAAGCGGGCATCTCCTTCCGAGCACCATGAGAGACTCAGTATTCCATCTCACCCAGGGGGAGGTGCCCTCTGGTTCTTGGAGGTGACAGGGACTTGGGAATCCTGGAGTGGTTTGGAGATGCTGAGGGAGTCCGTCAGGAAGGGACGGGAGGATGGCAACGGTCCTCGTACCTGGGGTGGGTGTTGGGAGCGAGAGCTCCCGGTGCCCACCCTCTGAAGATCGTTCTTCCCGCAGCTCTACCCCAGGGTGAAGCCGCAGAGGAATAAAGTCTAGAAGGACACAAGGATGTTTCCGAGGGAGGCGGGAACCAAACAGCTTTGCCTGCTCCGACCTGCCCCTCCATTCACTGCTGCATTTTCCTGCACCCCTAGCTCTGCAGGGGTGAGGTTCTCAACACCGGTTCTCTGCTCTCCTGGAAGCCCAGGGGATAAAGGGAACTCCAGCCTTAAGTTTAGGAACCTGCCTTATCTATGGGAGGTCCTGTGGGGCTGGGATCCTTGGAGGTAGGAGACCTCTCCACCCCGCCCCACTTGCCAAATCGAATCCCGTCCAAAGTGCCTCGTCCTACTGCCGGTCCTCCTCCCCCAGCAAGCCAGCCCACCAGCCGGCTGAGCCTGGGATGGGTGACTCCTTGGCGTCACCTCTGGCCCAGTGCTCCCAGATGCCTCGGAGTTCCGGGGAAGCTGCATTCGTCCCCGTCAGGCTCCCGGCACCAACTTGCTCCAATCAAGTGCCTTCACACAGCGCTGGTTTTACTTTTTAATGGAACAGGAGACTTTTTCTTTATAAATAAAGGTAGTTTGCACAGAAATTGATTTTCTTCTTGATTCCTTCCGCCTTGCTAAATGCTCACTGTTGTTACTATGTTTGGCAAACCAGTCTTTTTTATTTTTTTGAGCGATTTTTTTTTTTTTTTGGAGAGATTTTCACTGTAGGGCGCGTGCGCTCGCCAGACAGACAGAGAGAGACATAGAGACAGAAAGCGAGAAATCACCCCCCAGGGGGGATGGTCACGCCGCAATCCCTTCTCCTCCATTCTCCTCTCAGGATCTTGGGCAGGCACGCACACGCGCTCGGCGTGAGTTTTAAGCCACCGGGTCCGGGACACGAACAGCGGTTGACTACGTGGGAGTCCAGCGACATAGCCATTAAACTAACTGCTGGTTCCCGTTGAGCGATTTTTGTAGAGGGTGCATATACTCACTAGAGAGACGGAGAGAAACAGGAAGTGAGAAATCATCCCTTAGCAGGGATAGCCACGCTGTAATCCCTTCTCTGTTCTCCTCTCAGGATTTTGGGCACGCGCGCCAGGCATGAGTTTCCAGGTCTGAGACTCGAACTGCAGTCAGCCATGTAGGAGTCCAGTGCCTTAAGCCCCAGGCTACCTACTGGTCCCGGCATCCTAATCTTAAATAGCCCTTTTCTATTAATTCCTAAGGGATTTTCCTCATACAAGTCTAGTCCTTCTTCTTTCATGTTTTGGATCCCTCATTTGTGTCTATTTTGTTTATTTATTTAAAGCTCATTTACTGGGTCAACCAGTGGCTTACTGGTTAGGGCGACTGCGTGGTTTGAGTCCTGGACCTGTCGACTTGGAAAACATGCTGCATGTGCATGCTTGCCCCAAATCCTGACAGGCAGGAGAAATGGAAGATGGAATTTCGGTGGGACCATGCCCCAGGAGGGGAAGATGTCTTGATTTCCCTCTCTATCTCCCTGGTGAACACATGAACCCAATGGCAAAATTAAAAAAAAAAAAAAAGTTCATATATTTATTTATTCCATGACCAAGAGAGGCATATAGAGAGAGGAACCGGAACAGGGTCTGATGTCACGGTCCACCCGATTCTCAGTCAGTCCCAGATCCCGGGCATGTGAGTATTTGGCAGCATGTACGAAGAGGTGTCTACGTGTGAGCTTGGAATCTTCCCACGTGGTCCAGCCTCCCAGAGGCTTGAGTTTTATCAGTGCATTACCATCTGGGCCCTGAGTATTTTATAGTAAGTATCTGAAGAATCTAGTACCTGTGAGACCAGCAGTTAACGTAATGGCTATGTCGCTGGAATCCCATGTAGTCGACCGCGGTTCACGTCCCGGGCCCAGTGGCTTAAAACTCACGCTGGGCGCGTGTGCGTGCGTGCCCAAGATCCCGAGAGGAGAATGGAGGAGAAGGGATTGCGGCGTGGCCATCCCCCCGGGGGGTGATTTCTTGCTTTTTATCTCTCTGTCTCTCTCTGTCTGTCTGGCGAGCGCACGCGCCCGATAGCAAAAACCTCTTAAAAAAAAAAAAAAAAAGAATCTAGCACCTGGAATGTGGGGGCATCTAATCCTGCAGTTTGCTGTGTCTGCTGGTTCTCACTCATGGTGCACTATTTCCTCATGTGTGTTGAACTTATAGATTATAGGATGGCAGGTGGTTATGGTGGTTGAGGTGCTAGACTCCCGCACAGCCAACTACGGTTCAAGTCTCAGATCTAGCAACTTGGTTTCTCACTTTCCCTTCCTCTCTCTATCTCTCTCTGATGAAATTTTAAAAATAATAATAATAATAGGGGCTGGAAAATGGCATGATTATTAAGGGTATTGGACTCCCACATGGCTGACTATGGTTTGAGTCCTGGACCTGGCAACTTGCTTTCTCACTTTCTCTTTCACTCTGTCCTTCTCTAATCAAATTAAAATAAATAAATAAGTCAAATAAAATCATTCTTAAAATAATAACAAACAAAATAAAATAAATAATTCTTTTTTTTTTAAGAGGTTTTTGTTATAGGGCACATGTGATTGCCAGAAAGACAGAAAGAGACAGAGACAGAAAGCGAGAAATCACCCCCTCTCCCACTGGGGGGGCGGGGATGGCTGCGCTGCAATCCATGTGCCCAGCGTGAGTTTAAGCCACCAGGTTCAGGACTCGAACCATGGTTGGCTACATGGGAGTCCAGCAATATAACCATTATGCTAACTGCTGGTCTCAATAATTCTTTTTTTAAACAGCAATTATGGATTGAGATTGTCTTCAACAGGGCTTGATCTTCAGGAAATTCATGTGGCATTCACAAGGATGTGACCTTACAGAGTGATTTTCCTGTACTTTGGCCTTGTTTTTATTTTGTATTTCTTTTCTTTTTTGGAGAGGTTTTTGCCGTAGGGTGCGTGCACTTGCTAGAAAGACAGAAAGAGACAAGCAGAAAGCGAGAAATCACCCCCCAGGGGGGATGGCCACGTAGCAATCCCTTCTCCTCCATTCTCCTCTCCCGTCCTTGTGCACGCACGCACGCACACGCGCCCGGCGTGAGTTTAAGTCACCGGGTCCGGGACTCGGACCGCGGTCGACTGCATGGGAGTCTAGCGACATAGCCATTACGCTAACTTCTGGTCCCTTTATTTTGTATTTCATAAACCTCTCTGAATACTTTTCAAAAGTCACAAGTACAGATGGTTGGGCAGGGCTAGGGCTTAGGCAGCAGCGGGGGCGGGGACGGGACCCGGCAGGCGGGCGCCACGGAGGAGCTGCGTCTCGGCCGCGTGGG